TATCCCCTCTCCTCTCTTGAGTTTCCAGTACCTCTGAAGCATATCTATTCTCTCATGTCCACTTTGAAGAACATTCTCCTTCATGGAGAAGACTGAACCGAAAAGAGGCTGTGAATTCTTGGCGGCGGGGGGAGTATTTTTTTGTCTGTTAACATGATATCATCTATCTAATCATTTTCCTATTCTTAACATTTTAAAAATATTAAATGCCATTATGTGAGGCAGATAGGTGGACCGGTGTATAGAGTGCCTCATGTGGAGTCAAGGAGGAGCCAGATTTGAATCCTGCCTCAGATAGTTACTAGCTGTGTGACTCTGAGCAAGTCACTCATCTCTTCACAGCCTCAGTTTCCTCATCTGTAAAATACAGATAATAGCACCTACCTCCCTGGGTTGTTATGATGATTTATATGTGAAAAGCTTTACAAACTTTAAAAAACAAAGCTATTATCGTTGTCTTCATGCACCTCAGGTCATTCTGGACCTCTCTTCTACTGTCCCTGGGCATCATCCTTTTACAGGTCCTCACCACTCTTTTGTATTTATTTGACTCTGGTGATATGCCCTTTTCTTCCATTTCTTGTACATCTCCTTTTCAGATTTGAGATCAAAAGAGAGATCTATACTGGTTCAATCAGACCAGGACAAATAGCTATAACAGATATGCTACTCCCCCCCAAAAGTGTTTACATTGATTCTGGCAGATATTCAAATCTCTCTTTTCATGTGGGGATGGGAAGGCCAATGGTATATCACTGGCCTTAATCCTATCAAAACTTCTTAACTCAGAAAGAGTGAGCTACTATTGGGATGAAGGTAAAAAGATAGTGAATTTGGAGTCTGAAGACCAGATTCCCCATCTTTGCTATGGGCAAGTTACTTCACCTTTTTAAGTCCAAATTTCTTTATCTTCCAAAAGGTGTTAATATTTGTACAATGTGTTTCTCCAAAAATCAACCGCACAAGTATAGGATGGGGGTATGCCTAACAATATACTGTTGAATTGAAAAGGATATGGGGGATTTAGGATCACAGACTTAAAAATGAAAGGCATCTTTGAGGTCATCTAGTCTAAACTGTCATTTGATAAATGAAGACATTGAGGTCATAGAGAAGTGACTCGTCTAAGGTCAGGTGGTAAGCAAAATAGGTGGAATTTGAACTCAGGTCCTCTGACTCCAAACCCAACATTCTTCCCACTGTACCATGCTGGCTCCCAAGCTTAGAAGGAGTCGCTAGTATGGCATGGCATCCTAACAAGCTGACCCTGTGTGAAGCTGAGGAAAAAATAAAACCATAGACTTAGAGCTGGGACAGACTTTAGAGGTCACCTACCACAATGCCAGAGACGGAGCATCCAAAATGAGGGAGGCAATAGTCCTGTTGTCCTCTGGCCTGGTTAGACCATGTCTGAAAGGATGTGTTCACTCTTGGGCAGTCCAGTTTTGGAAGGCCATTGACAAAAAGCAGAGTATCAGAAGACAGTGACAAAAATGAGGAAGGGACTAGAATCCATAACAGATGAGGATCACTGGCTTGTCCAGTTTGGAACAGAAGGTTTTGGGGGGGGAACATGATGACTATTCAAGTATTTGAAGGGCTGTCCTGTGGAAGAGCCATTAGTTTTGTAGTATTTGGCTTTGGCGGGGGGCAGAACTAGAAGTAATGGGTGCATGCTGCAAAGAGACAGATTTCAACTCAATATAAGGAAAAAAACTTCTTTACATTAAGAGTGGTCTCAAAACAGGATGGCTTGCTTTGGCATGTTCTGGGAATCCTCTTCCTTAGAGGTAGAGGCAGAGGTGGCCTGGCTACTTAGCAGGTAAGTTTTAGAAAGGATTCTTGGTCACGTATGAAGAGGGTGGACAGCATGGCCTCTGAGGTTCCTCCTGGCTCAGAAATGCTGCGCTTTTGGGATTCCTACCCCGACCTATCCCGATTGGCGAGATCAATGAGATAATATACGCCAAGTGCTTTGTAACCATAACGGGCTGCATAAATGTGACTTATTGTTCTTCTTCTCCCCATCTTAGATGAAAATGGGTCACCTTGATTTGAAATGAAAATACTATACGTACAAATCTCCCCCCACTCCTCATCTCCTTCGCTTATTTTTTTTAACCAGAATATTTGTACCTATTTTTAGAGTTGTTTCTGTTTGATGAAATACCTTTCAGTGATCGTTCAAACTGAACAATGAATAACACAGCCTGAGATATTGGCATTTCCCCCACCAGCCCATGAAAATAACCCATGGCCCATGAAGAGGTGTTGAGTACCTGGAGGTGTGGAACAGGCTTCCTTCAGCCCCATCATGCTGAGATATTTTAGTCTTGTTGGAGAGAAAAAGAGGGAAAGAAAAGGGAGATGGAGAGGAAGAGAAGGGGGGGGGGCAGGAGAGGGAGACATAGGAAGGAGAAAATGAGAGAACAGTAAATTCTACCCTTCCAAAAGCATTTCTCTAAAGAACAAAGGGATTGCCTGGGTCAGGAGAGGTCTACCTGAAATGCTAATGACGTGCAAGGGTATAAGGTAGAAAAGGTCTGGAGGAAAAAAGAAGCTTGTGTGGCTCTTCAGGCTGGGGTTTTGAGCAAAGAAATGCAAAGAAGCTATGTGAACTAGAGTGTCACAGTCTCCCCAGCTCAGGGAGAAATAAATCAAAATTCCTTCCCAGAAATCAGTCTTTTCCTGTGTTTTGCGGGGTCCTCTTGAAGCCTGGCTCACCAAAATTCTTCCCCCGACAATACCAGATAAGCTGCTGCACATTCTCCTAACCTGCTATGTAGATTTACAACTTGGGAGGACCTCGGGGGTCAACTGGTCCGACCCCCTCATTTTACAGGTGAGGAACGCAAAGCACAGGAAAAGGAAGGCACTTGCCCAAGGTCACACAGGTATTAAACAGCAAAGTTGGGACTTGGACTCAGGTCCTGTGATTTTAAATCAGGCACTCGTTCTATGGTGCCCCAATCAAGCCCCTCATTTGACAGATGAGGAATAAAAGAACAGAGGGGTAAAGTGACTTACCTGAGATCTCACAGCTACCAGGCAGCACAGCTGGGATTTTAACCCCAGCACTTGGCTCAGAATCCAACTTCCATCTTTCAGTTTCCACCACAGGGCCATCGTCTTATTAACTAACCCTGTGAGAGGGACTACCTTGCAGTACATGGGAGAAACTTAGGTCAGGCCAAGGTGTGGAAAAAAATATTAGCTCCAAGTGAAAACAACATCCAGATCTTTCCTGATGAAAGGGAAAAGGAGGAATTGTTACCCTTTTATCTGGGCAAGGATAGTCACTCACAACTGATCTGAATAGTATCAGATCACTGGGGTTGACTGTCAGCTACCAATCAAAAGAAAAATGTTATTGGGGGTAGCTAGGAAAGATTCAGTGCCACAGGGGATAAAGGAAACAGCTTGAGCAAACTGGAGCCCTCCTGCCTCTTGCTCCCAAGGGGATAACATCTTTAGCCCCACCCTCCCGTGGGACCTTTGGGCAGAATAGGGACAAGAGATGGGAATGAGGCACACCCCACTGATACCTGCACCTGCCCAGATTACCTTTGATACCCTAGGAAAGGAAAGGCTTCTCTAGTTAGAGATAGGAGACAGCGATTTAGGGAAAATAGGACCCACTCTTTTCTCACTGCAAACATTCATTGCCTCTTTTGTTGAACCACACCCAGAAAGATCATGGCTATTTTTTTTCAGTTGCCTATAAATCTTTACTTTAGCATATATTCTTTAGTAAAAAGAAAAACCTTAACAATCCGTGTGTGTGTGTGTGTGTCTGTGTGTGTGTGTGTGTCTGTGTGTGTGTGTCTGTGTGTGTGTGTGTGTGTGTGTGTGTGTGTGTGTTTAAACAAATGTTTATTGTGCCCTCTAGTGGTCAGAACTTCCCACTTCTCTCCTAAACAGACGGATCAGGGTTTGGAGGCACTGGAGATGAAATTCGAAATTTGGGGAACTGATCCAGAAAATGAAGAGAAGCAAAATTTTCCTTCTTAACTCACCACAAAGAAATCCAGTGTTGTTATAAACTGGTGGACGTGCTCACTTGTTCCACAGCAGGGATTTTAGATCACAAGCCTTAGATCAGGGATTCTAAACGTGGGGCCTGAGACCTTTTTTGTTTGTTTGTTTTTAAGATTTTGATTAATGGATTTCAATACAATTGGTTTCCTTTGAAAGCCAATGTATTTTATTTTATACATTTTAGAACATTATTCTTGGGAAGCAGTACATAGACTTCATTAGACTACAAGAAAGGTTCAGAAGCCCCTGCCTTCGATGACTTTTCTGCTTGATTCCTGGGCCAGACTGGGGAACCACCTCTCTTTCTTTTTAACATAAGCCTTACTTGGCACGAGTAAGCCTGAAGTCAGGCACATCATCCCATGGGGAACTCCAGGGGTCTGTTGCCTGCTGGAATTCCCCACTGCCTGCTCAGGTCTGAGGAAGAAGCTTCTGAGCCTATCTGGCTTCATTTCATAGCATTCCAGGTTAAAGGAGACTCCAGGGGCCCTCCTGGACAGGAATATCGCTTTCCAATTTTTTCTTCCTGGGAAGAAGAAAAAATTGGAAAGCAATATGCCACTAGCTTGTTGGATCACCATGCTTGATGCTAGACTAGGACTCTCAAGTGGTTTCTCCCAGTGTCTTACCTTATTATCCCCATGGAACAATTCAGACTCCCTAAGGAACAAGGACCCAGTAGGCCCCAAATAATCAAGGAAGTCAATCTTTCTGTTTCACCTTGGCTGGCATTCAACCCTTCACCCCTACCCTTACCTCCAACTCCTTTGCCATCTCCTCTGGGAAACAGGGATAGAAACAGACTGATCCTGACATGGGAAACTCTCACTGCAGCAGGCCATAGGGAACTCTCCCTTTCCTTCTCAATGGAGCCATGAAGAATTGAATTTTGTTCCTGCCTTCCAGCTTGTCCTCAGTTCAAAATGACATATCAGAAAACCTTGGTGCTTTTCCTCCCTCAGGTCGTTTTGAATGGAAGGCTTAAAGCATTCTGTGGTGGCTCCATCATCAATGAGAAATGGATTGTAACTGCAGCCCACTGCATTGTACCTGGCGACGAAATTACTGTCGTTGCAGGTGAGCAAACCATTACCCACTGAGATGTTGAAATTCACAGACGGGGCTGTGAACCTTGTCACATGGCATTATATGGCTGGCCCTGAGCTGAATAAGCTATTTCAAAAGGGAACAAACTTGTCGTCACTGGATATGTTCAAGTGGAAGCTGAATGGCCTCATGTTGAGGACATTGTAGAGGGAGTAGGTGACCACGGAAAGCTCTGTGGGATCTCCAAGAGCTTGATAAGAAGGAAGCGCTACCTTCAAATTAGAGTTTGGCCTGCAAAATGGGGACTGCTCCTCCCACCACTTGCCAATAAGATGGAAACGTGGTGTTGGAGCAGAGGAGACCTGGGAAATTGTAGAGCCCTAGGGCTGGAAGGTCCTTTAGAGATCATGTGACCTGGCGCCTCATTTGGTGTAGGATTGGAATCCCTGGAGACCTTAACAAGGTCCATGGCACTGGGTGCTCTGTAGGAGTGAGGGGAGTTCTTTCTTTAGGAGAGAGAGTAGGGGAAGGGGAGTTGTTTTTTTAAGAGAGAAGGTGGTGTAGAGGAGTTCTGTAGTGGTACCGAGGAACGAGTACTATTAAAGTCAGAGAGGACCTGGGTTCAAACCCTGACTCTGCCATTTACTACTGGTATGACCTTGGGAAAGTCTTGACCTCTTCAAATCCCACTTCTGCATCCATAAAATGGGGGGGGTGGACTAAATGGACCCTAAGGTCACTTTTAGCTTTAAATCTTTGAGCCTCTGTGTTGTTAGACCTTGGCTCTGACCCCTTATTGACCTAGGTGGCCTTGGAAAAGTCATGTGCCCTCTCCAAGCCTCAATCTCCTCACTTGCAAAAGGAGACTAACAATACTTGCCCCACTTCCCTCATAGGGTCATTGTGGGGAAGATGCTTTGGAAGATTCAGTACTCTAGAGAAATGTAAATGATGAGGTGAAATCCTAAGTGCTAAAGGGTGCCATGTTTTCTTCTCCCAGGTGAGCATAACACAGAAACTCCAGAAGGCACAGAGCAGATGCGCCGGGTGATCCGAGCCATTCCTCACCCCACTTACAATGGCTCGGTGGAAAAGTACGTCAATGATATCGCCCTTCTGGAGCTCGATGAGCCCTTGCAGCTGAATGAGTACGTGACCCCAGTCTGCATTGCAGACAAGAAGTACACCAAGATTTTCCTTGAGTTTGGAAAAGGCACCGTGAGTGGCTGGGGCAAGATCTACCACAGGGGCCGCTCAGCCTCTGTCCTCCAGTTCCTGAATGTTCCCTACGTGGACAGAGCCACATGCCTGCGCTCCACCAAGGTCAGCATCCACAGCAACATGTTCTGTGCTGGCTTTCACCAGGGTGGCAAAGATTCCTGCCAAGGAGACAGTGGGGGGCCCCATACCACAGAAGTGGAGGGCACCAGCTTCCTCACTGGCATCATCAGCTGGGGAGAACAATGTGCTATCCAAGGCAAATATGGCATCTACACGAAGGTCTCCAGCTTTGTCAAATGGATTAAAGAGAACACAAAACGCACCTGAGCCACGCCAGCTTTGCTCCCTTTCCGGATTGTTGCTTGTTATTTGGGATTGAGAAAAGAGACAGGAATGGCTTTGTTACTAATCAATGTCCTATCGATTGTTGGGTATGAATATACATTATCGCACAATGCTGCTTTTTCCTTTTGAACAGAGAGAATTCTGGGTAGAACTCAGACTACACTGGTCTGTATACACAAGAGGGGAAACGGGCATTGAATAAATATTATGCTGTGACAGCGTGATCAGTCCCACAAGGCTGTGAAGCAGACAGAGTTTGGCTTCCTAACCTCATCTGTCCCTAAACCCTCTTCCTGCCACAGTCCCTGTGTTTCCATTGTGTTTCTTCCCCCTTGAGTGTCCTTTCTCTACTCAACCCATCTTCCCTTTGTAAGCTCCTTCCTTGGCTCTTCCCCCACCCCTTCCCAGACACTCAAGGCTATGGGTCTGCCTTCCCCAAAAGACCTCATGGCTCCAGTCCTTTCCTGTTCTTCCCTCTCTACCCAACCAGTGTTACCAATTCAACTATTTGGCCTTCCCAATCCTGTTTGGTAGATGGCAGCCTACTCTGCCTACATGTCAAGTCAGCTCCATACTCTTAAAAATATACACGAGTATCACAATCATTTCTGTAGTAAGTCCTCGCTGAGTGGCTTGTAACATATCCAGATTCCTGAGGGCTAGCATGGGCTGGAAAGAGCTCTCCAGGGTCTCTGCTTCTGTAGTCCGTCCCTTTATTCCTGAATATATATTGTCCAGTCCCCTAGACCCCCTGTCTAGCCCAGGCCCTCCATCACAAGGTGCTGATCAGGTGGCTAAAGCAGTTAGCAGCTAGCTGGGTTGCCACCCACTGATTGCTGCCTTGCCTTGGGTACGTCCTGGTAGCTGCCATTTGGGTGCTATTTCTGCTCATACAGAAGACCTAGGGTGAGGAGATGAGAGAGGATGGAGAGATTGTCATCAGGGAGTTGTGGGATTTTGCTTTCAGAAAAATACAAAATCCAGCTGAAATGCATCAGGAAATATTGTTAGGATCCAGGAAGGGGGCAAACCCTGGCAAGCCAAAGCTGTCCAGCTCTCCCCAGTGCAGGTCTGCTCACACTGGGTACCTCAATAAACCCATTTGGAAACAAACTTGCCACTCACAGGAAAAATATCCCAGGAAGCAAGAGTAGGCCTTTTCCGGACGTCACCCTTGTATCGAGGCCCACCGAAGGCCCCCAAGAAAGGCTCATTGGCTGGAATTGGAGGAGTTGATGAGCCAAGCTAGAGATCCACATGGGCCCCAAGGGCAGGGAAAACCAAATTTGGGGAGGTGGCAGAGTCCAGGGCTGAGCAGGGAGAGCTGGATCAGAACCCAAGTTCAGCCCTAAGCTCCCTGTGAGAGCCAGAGCAGGGCCTTTCCCCACAGTATGCAATCTACCCATCCAATCTAATTACTGGGTTAGGTTCAGGGGATACAAAACCAAATCTCCACCCTCAGGGAACTTACCTTCTACTAGGTAGGGGCTGTTAAACTTTCGGGGGTCATGGACCCCTTTGGCAGTCTGGTGGAGCCTATGGACCCTTTATCAGAATAATGTTCTTCATGGTACTTGAAGGTTTACAAAGCACTTTACAAATATTATCTCATTGGATCCTCACAACAACCCTGGGAGATAGGAGCTATTATTATCCTCATTTTACAGATGAGGAAACTGAAGCAAACAGCCGTTAGGCGACTTGCCCAAGGTCACACAGCTAAGAAGCATCTGAGGCCACATTTGAACTCAAGGCTTCCTGACTCCAGGCCCAGCACTCTGTGCACTCTCTCTCTCTCCTAAACCACCTACCATAGAGGGATAACTTTGAAGATATTACCTATTAGATTCAAGATTCCACCATTTCAATGGACATTTGGCATCTCCCCCACCCTGTGAAAGTGAGGCCTCCTGGCCTCGTCAGGATGATCAACTGTCTGGGAAGCAGGCCTCTAGTGGTCCCACCAAGCAGTGAGCTGAGGCCCTTGGGATCTGGGGTCCTCAGGGCTTGGCACACAGTGGCTAGAGGATTGAACTTGATGTCACGAAACCCTGAGTTCAAATTTGACTTCTCAGCCTTAATTTCTTTATCTGGAAAACAGGATGAAAACTATCTGTAGCACCTACTTCACAGGGTCATTGCTGGGCTCAAAGGAGATCCTTCATATAAAGTGCATCACAAACTTTCCAGCACCATGGCAGCAGTAACTGTTTCTTTTGGATTGGATGAAGAGTATTTGAGCCCACATATCTCCAAGCCCATCCCTGCCTTCCCCTTGGGTCCAGCCTCAGCTTCCTGCAGCCTGACACAGTCTCCTCACATCTCGACGACCTCAAAGGTTCCCTCCCAGTTCCTAATCTATGATCCCATCCCAGCTTAAAGAGACCCCAGGGATGGCAGCTTTGTGAGCTGTGCCCTTGACGTCTTCCACCTAGGGCATATGCACCAGCCTGTACCAGGATCATTAATGCTTTCAAAAGCACGGGAGCTACTTAACCCAAATGGGCTGAAGCATGCTGCTCTCATATTGGAAGTGACAGATTGAAAAAGAATCCTTGCTGAGCTGGGAGAAGTACATGATTATAGCACAGACATTTCCCCTTGCTGTTTAAGTAGGACTTTGGGGGGTCATTCTTGGGAAATCAGCTGCTTATGGTGCCAGGGAAAAGAGAGGGCTATGTTCCTCCCAATTTTTAAGCTCCTCACATTTTACAGATCAGGAAACTGAGGTCCAGGGGAAAGAGGGGTTGTATAGCCAGGAAGGAGCAGAGTGGCCACTCGAATCTGGGTCCTCGTCACCTGTCACCTGTATTATTGCAATAACCCCCAACTGGCTTCCTTGCAACCTGTCTCCTCTCCAATCCATCCCTGCCCAAACTGACATTCCTTCTACATCAATTTGCTCAAACAGTTTTCACTGGTTTCTGTCATGCTATCCCTCCAGGATAAAATACAATCTCCTCTATTTGGCTTTTAAAGAACTTCACAAACTAGCTGCCATTTATCTTTCCACACTGATTTCGAATTATGTACCCCCTTTTACAAACTCTTTGTTTCAGCCAAAATGGTTTCCTTGCCATTTCCCAAATCTCCTGCATCTCCTACTTCTCTGCATTTGAGCAGGCTGTGCCTCCTTCCTGAAATGTTCTCCCTCCTTCCCTCTGCCTCTTGGAATCTCTAGCTCCTTTCAAACCCTTTCCTGACCCATTCACTCATTAGTGTTATCACTCTGCCCTCAAAAATTACTTTGTAGGGGCAGCTAAGTGGCACAGTGGATAAAGCGCCGGCCCTGAGGTCAGGAGGACCTGAGTTCAAATCCAGCCTCAGACACATAACACTCACTAGCTGTGTGACTTGGGGCAAGTCACTTAACCCCAATTGCCTCATACGAAAAAAAAATTACTTTGTATTTTACATTTACATATCTGTATCCATTTTGTTTCTCCCCAGGAGAATGTAAATGCCTGATTTTTATCTTTGCATCGCCAGTGACTGGCACAGTTCTAGGCATGTAGTAAAATTACATTATCCTAGATCTAAGCTTGAAAGGATGGTAGGGGTCATCTAGCCAAAATCCCTCATTTTACAGATAAGGAAACTGAGGCCCAAAGAGGTTATATGATTTCTTCATGGTCACACAGGTACCAAATGGGAGTTCAAATTCAAACCCAGTTCTTCTGCCTCCAAATTATTTTAGACACTTAATAAGTGTCTGTTGGCTTGAATTGAATAGAGCCAGCATTTGAGCCCAAGTCTTCTGATTCCTACCTGATCCAGTGTTCTCTCCATGGTGTTTCCTTGGGCCTCAATTTCTTTCTCTCTTTAGAACTTGGGGGCTGGATTCCGCTGTTTCTTCCCTATGTGACCTTGAACAACTCCCTTCCCTTCTATGGGCCTCAGTTTCCTCCTCTGTGAAATGATGACCTCTAAGTTCCTTTCTAGCTCTAAATTTATAAACTTATGATCTTTTGGTTTAATCATTTTAGTCGTGTCCTACTCACTGTAACCCCATTTGGGGTTTTCTTGGCAAAGACACTGGAGTGCTTTGTCATTTCCTTCTCCAGTTCATTTTACAGATGAGGAAACTGAGGCAAACAGGGTGACGTGACTTGCTCGGGGTCACACAGCTAGAGTGTGTGTCTGAGGCCGGATTTGAACTCAGGTCTTGCGGACTCTGCGTCTGGCACTCTGTCCACTGATGGCCAGCTCTAGACCAATGATCCATCCAACAATAAAGAGGCGGGAGGCCCTCTGTGTTCTGCCCTCGTCAGACCTCGTCAGAACATTATGTCAGCTCTGGACTGAATGGCCTCTGAAGTCCCTTCCGGATCTAGATCTGGGATCCTCCATGTGAGACTCAGTTTCCTTCTCTGTAAAATTATGAGATCAGACTCAAGGGCTTCTGAGGCACCTTTAAGCTCTAGAGCTAAGATAGTAATTTCTAAGTACTACGTGCCTAGAACTGTGCTAGCCACTGGGGATGTAAAGACAAAAGTGAGGCAGTTCTTGCCCTCAGGAAGTTTACTTTCTACTGGGTAGAAACAACACAGACACAGATAAGTGAATATGGAATACATGCAGAGTATTGGGGGTGGGGAGAGGAGTAATACTAACAACTGTGGGGTTCTGGAAAGGCTTTGAAGGGATAGAGCAACCAAACCTGGAGTCAGGAAGACCTGATTTCAAATCTGGCCTCAGACACTAGGTGTGACCCTGGGCAAGTCACTTACCCCTGTTGGCCTCGGTTTCCTCATCTATAAAATGGGTTGGAGAAGGAATAACAAAACCACTCTGGTATCTTCGCAAAAAAAAAAAAAACAACAGGGTCCCATCTGGTTGGACATGTGTCAGACATGACTGAACAACAACAGAAGAGATTCTAAGAGGAAGAGGGAAGGAGGGAGAACATTTCAGGCAGGAGGCACAGCCTACTCAAATACAGAGAAGTAGGAGATGGAGCAAGAGATTTGGGAAATGGCAAGGAAACCATTTTGGCTGAGATAATGTGTAAAAGAGAATAATGTGAAATCAGTGTGGAAAGATAGGTGACAGCTAGATAGTAAAGGTCTTTAAAAGGTCATCCTATGAGTGACCAAGTCCCTTCATCTCTATTTCCCCTTCCTTCAAATGAGCAATTTAAGCTAGATGGCCTCTGAGGCCCCTTCTAGCTCTGGGGTTCTCCGATTTCCGTACAAGCTCATGACCTCAGAAAGCTGGCACCAGGCCTCCGATGGACTGGCTGCTAGCAGTGGTG